AGCCATCATTGTTGTTTGGCGGGCCCGGGCTTGGGATTCGAACCCGCCACCTTAGGTGTATGTGGCTGGTGCCTTAGCCACTTGAGCCACAGGCGCCGAGCCCATACTAGTGTCTTGACATTGAAATACAATGATATGCATGGAGCATTGCTAACCATGGAAGCTCACTTGAGCTTCAGCGTCCAGAATTTTATTGTGACTTTGTTATGTAAGTATGTTTGGTTGATTGCCCAGGTGGACTGATAACATGTGATCCAAAGCCCCTATCATAAGTTACATTTTTGGTTTTTTTGGAGTAGCTTACCTTCATCCTAACACTATACAGGTGTGGTCACCCTCCCAATTGTATTGTTATTTTATACAGTATGATCCAAGGTTTTCCAGGCAAAAAAAGACTCTTATCAGGCACAACATTCCAAAGGCCAATAGATTACTTCCCAGAAGCCAAGGGGAAAAGCTAGACCTTTTCTTTGGGTAAGACAGAATTCTTTACTATACATGGGGACTAACTGGTGAGCAAATCAGACATAGTTTTTGTCCTCATAAGACTTACAGTCTAACTTTGAAGTTTCTTGGAGTATGAGCGAAAAGATAAAAGATTTGGTAACTCTTGAGGGTGGCACCTTTGGCTCATATACCAAAGGCTGTGGGTTTGAACCCAGCCCTGGCCAAACTGCAACAACAAAAAAAGCCAGGTGTTGTGGCGGGGGCCTATAGTCCCAGGTACTCGGGAGACTGAGGCAAGAGAATCACTTAAGCCCAAGAACTGGAGGTTGCTATGAGCTATTATGCCATATCACTCTACAGAGGGCTACAAAGTGAGACTCAAAAAAAAAAAAAGATTTGGTAACTCTTGGTTTGGAAATAATTTTTCCTCATTTGTGGTGAAGTGAGAATACCCAGGTATTAAAAATGATCTGAAATATTTGTTTTTTCATGGATAAAACCAACTCTTTGTGCCCTCAGTTTTCTTCATCTGTTGAATGAGGATAATAATAATTAGTTTCATAGCTCTGGATCTAAATATTAGGGGGGAAAAAGTTAAAATTTCATGATTTATCCATTTATTTCATGTTGCTAGGGAAAGAGGAAATGAAAACCAAAGAAAGTAGTATGAGGAAAATATAGAGATAAGAACAAAAATTGGGGCTTGGCTCCTGTTGCTCA